AGTAGATAATATATTCTTGTAAATGTTATATGTATCATTAGAGACACCCTGTATATTGTAAGCTGAACATCAACATGTGATATACACGTATTGTGTAATTAAAAGCACGAGATCATAACGCACATTGCATCAATAACATCGCCTGTTCCTTGACATTATCAATAGTTTAGTAGGTGTGTCATTCAAAGATATATTAAATCATACTTATTACATAATAATTATGTACAAAAAATATTTCTAAAATTTGTAAGAAAAAAAATACGAAGCAACGATATTTAACGCTAAATATACTAAACATAAAAATATGGAGCAACAAACTAAATAGATACAAAACTAAAAGATACAATCTAAAAAGCAATCTACGCAAGAAAAACTGACATATTAAAAGAAATAAATAGAAATGCATCATGCAAATTTGAATTTCTAATTCGCGCAATTAATTAAAAAGCATTTTGCTTGTTTCTTAGCTAAATCAATATAAAAAAATCTTAGAGATCTTCTTTCAAACCGCGTTAAATAAAAAAAAAAAAAAGAAAAAATGAAAACATTAAAGTATCTAAATTAATTATCGATCTGCAAGATTTCAAACAGATTTTCTTCGATCTTCTCTGTTATTTAGTTTCTCTACGGAGTTGCTGGTAAAGGCGTTCCGCAATAAAGATATAGATCTTCCGCACGTCTACCGTTATAAAGAAATAAGGCGAGTTTTGTGTAGCGTAAAGGCTGCACAGTGGTTTCCGCGGTCCCTTTATTACACGCGAATCAGTTGCAATAAACGAGCGAATTATCGAAGTGACGGTACAAATCCCGTCGTCTTACGTCGTAAGATTCGAAGAATCACACAGCTTATCTTGGCCGCGCCATTGTTATCAGCGCGATCGATGATTACTAATGCGATTGTGTAGGCGTTTGTTGACAATTAACTCTTCGCTCCGTCGCGGATTGTATTACATTAATTACTCCGGTGATAATTAGAGTACAGAGGCGTAACCGTTTCACGCCATTTGAGCTCCGGGAGATAAATCACTTTGGTTATGTTAGACTATTGATAAATAAGTGCAAATTAATTTATAGCGTTACAAAGCTCTTGACGCAACTTAACGCAATGAATTTTTACGACAACGATTATGTAATTTTTGTGAAACATCGTAAAACAAGGGAAACTTTTTCAGAGTAGATATCGAATTACACAACATTATCACATGAGTATTTTTTTTTTTTTTTTAACTTCCGTATTCGTCTTGTTCATTGAATGAAAGATTCCTCGCTTCTCTGCATTTCTATCCTATTCCTCCGTATTCTTACACTGGATTCTTATTTACAATTCCGTGGTGGCTACACCCCAATACTGCTGCATCCTCGTGGCGTCCTGCTCCAACGAGTCCATACCGTTTCTCTCCTGAATAACAGCAAAGTCATACTCAAGATTGTACGGCATCAGCCTTTGTAGGCTGCCGAAGTATGCGGCATTTGGTCCACCATTCAATAATCTTCGCCCACTGCCGAAGCGGACCATCGGCGGTCGTGATAACGAAGGGTTGAAGGATCGGGCGCTGCCGAATCTTTTTGACAAAAAGGGCAGATTTCCGCCTAGTTGCGGTGTCGACCTCGATTGGCCGCGGTGCAACGGCGCCTTCGTCAGCGTGTCCAATTCTTTATCGAACAACAGCTGAGTGTTCTGCTCGAGCATGTACTCCCAGCAACGGAATTGCTCCTCGCTGAGAGCGCTGGATCTTTCCGAGATAGCATCCTCTTGCGTAGGCACACAAGGCACCTGAGAAATAAAGAGACAATTTTAAACAATATGGACTTTGTATTTTTTATATTTATTATATCTTTTACATTTTACAACTATATTTTATATGTGCGACCAGACTTACGTATAAATTTTATTAACATGAGCGAATTAAATTAGTTATAAATTTTTATTACGTTTACTACCTCAATAAAAAAGTTTATAACTTTTAGCGCTTTTTTTTGTAACAACATGCGATTTTATCAAAGTTTCTTTTTCACAAAAAAGAAATATCAACGAAGAGGTATGACTTTACTTTTCGCATTCCGTTTTCTTGTACGAGAACACTCTGATGAGCTTTATTCGTCGCTCTGGCAGCCGCACTTCCGGACCACATCCTTCCGGATGGATGACGAGACTTAAAGGTGCTGTCACTGGCTTGATCGGATTGTCCACTCGGTGAACTGCGGTCGTCTCTGTACGGAGGACTTTCGTTTTCCTGCGTCGATCTGGAATTCTTGAAGTATCTTCCGGAACCACCATGAACCTTGTTGGATCTGCGAATAAAAGCGGATAAAATAAATTTTCTCAACAATTTTCTTTTTATCAATATTCTTCTTAAAAAATAATTTTATCATATTCTTCTTAAAAAATAATTCTTAATTCTCAATTGTTAAGGTTAAAAAATTGATATTTTCTTTATAAAAGTATGTCTAAAAATAGATATTTTCTTTATAAAAGAAATAAAAAGAAGTTGATACTTCAGTGATGGATATAGATCTTGATAAAAAATGATTAAAAAAATTAGAATTTTGATTTTGCAAAATATTGGCCAACACTTTTTAATTATTATATTTTTATAACTTGTATTACAGTATATTAATTAAAATATTTTGCAAGATAAAAAGATATATAAATATTTACAGAAAATGATATAGTTTTTATTAAAATATGAGATAGAAATATTCCGTGCTTGCATATTTCAGCAGTTTTTCTGTTGTACAAATTCACATTGATATTGATCGGCTTGTTTTCCATCACATTTTATAACAGTAGTCTATTTCTCTTACCTGTTCACGATGTTCTTCAATACGCCATTAAGATAATAGCCTTCGCTCGCGTGACAACAGCAGGCAGCTGGAGGTTTATGGCTCGCTGGCGGCACGCAACAAGGACAAGGACATACGTTATCGCTTTGGCTTCTGTTCTTGCCAACGGCATGCCTGAGTTCGCGCATAAGTTGATCCATGTCACCTGGACTTGGTCCGGCCAGACGGACAATGATGATACTCAGATTATCCTCCGCGCCATAAGACTGTGCCAGATCCTGAAGTCTTTTGGCCGCAAGGACAGGACTAGCTTCGGCTCTAGCTTCCCTTACGGCCTCCTGAACGCTTAGAACCTCCCATAATCTCCGATTAGCAACTATGACGAACTCGTCATCGTCCTCCAACGTTACTTCTTCGTATATTGGATCGGGTACCACCAGCGGAAACATGGCGGCGTTACCAAGTTGGTTCTTGACCGTTTGAGCTTTCTTAGACATGGCAAAAGTCAAGGGACCCGCGGCTCTACAGAGGACCGCTTTGGCGTCCCCGGTGGAAGCGACTTTTAGGGAATATTTGGTTGAGGATTTTGGATATCCTTGCTGTGATGGTAATTTTACTACATGAACTAGAGTCGCGTCTACGCCGTATTTCTGACCCTTTTCCTTAAGCTCTCTGTGCGCCGACAGCAAGGTATATTTCAGATATTCCTTTGTTGTCTCTCGGATTGTTCGTTCCTCCAACAAAAGACGAGGGATCATTTCTTGAAGGGCGCTAGGTGCCTCTTGATTGGAACCACCGTCGAAAATGCCAAACAGACCCTCGACGTTGCAGAAGGACGGCATTCGTATTTGGGAAATGTATAACCTGCAGAGATTTGCAAACCGTTCAGAATGTACAATCAGATATCGTTTTTTATGATTCATATATCTTAAGAGATTATATGAACAATAATCTTACTTTTCTCGCGAACCGGCAGTTTCCGAGAAACCCAGCCGCCATGGTTGTTCGGTGTTCTTTTCCGCCGTGACAATTTCCTGTTGAAGCGGATGAGATGGCAAACTGGGCCTATTCTGTCCAGACACATCCACTAAAGAGATCGGCCTTTGGGACCTGTAATCCTGGAACTGTCGCGGGTCCACGTGCAGTCGTGTATTGCAGGATATATCGAGAAACTGCAATTGCGGTGGTACTAATGTGGCCAGATTTACCCTGTCCAATTGATTATGCGCCAGGTCCAGCACCTAGATAAGATAAAGTGTATAAATATCGCATTTTGTTTCCTTTTTATTATTTAATAGCACACACTATTAATATTTCTTTTTGCGCTTGTAAATAATTATTTAGCATTAATGTTATTAGAAAAACAAGCTCTCTTCAAATATTATATTTATATAAAATACTTCATTAAAATTCATTAAAATAATTCTGCGTATATAACAACGTATTTTATGAAAATAAAAAGTGTCGATATATAATAGTAATTTAATTTTAATTTTATAATTATCGATATCTTATATAATAAACAAAATTATAAAAAGAAAGAAAGAGAAACAAATTTTATATATTTTGTATTTTAATTAGATTTATTTTTATATGCATATTTTCTATGTTTAATAAAGATTTAAAAACGATTAGTTTTTCTTCTTATGTCAATTCTTTATAAATATGAATTTATGTATATTCTTGATATTCTTAAGAATAATTGATCTCTCGTACATTATATTATTTAAGAAATTATTATTATATTCTAGAAAATTCATTAACATCTTGCGTATCTTTTTATTTAAATAAAACGGAGAATATAATGAAGCTTTTTTGATCAGCCGTGTTTACGCAAATTGCTCGATACGCGTAACATTCGTGCGCGTTGTATCTAGAATCTCACTTTCAAGGATGCCGTTCTATTAAATGTGGGACACGTTAAGAGGCGATTAGAATGCACACGCAGCACGCGCAAGTGTCGCAGATTGGCCACGTTGTCTGGAAGATATTGCAATCGGTTTCCAGACAGCACTAATTCCTCCAGGTCACCCCATGCGGCTATGCAACTGCAAGAATGTATCAATTTTAATGATAGGCATTATAAAATTATTTCAAATATTTCATTTATATCAATAATTGAAATTGCATCTTTTATACATCTTTTTTCATTCTTTATTTATTATCTGACAGCCAAAACTATAGAATTGTTCTTTCCCATGATTTTTTGCAAAGAATGAGAATAGACTCACCTTTCCGGAAGGGTATCCAGGGTGTTGTAAGCGATATGAAGAATTCTCAAAGATGTGAACTTTGCGAGAGCATCTAGGGCGGTATCGGTCAGACAATTTGCCGTGACATATAATTTCTCCAAAGTGTGCGATCCCTGGTGAGTTTTGCCGATCTCTTCTCGATACGGAAGTTCAGAAAGCCGATTGTTAGAGAGGTTTAAAACTTTCATTCTGAAAAGAAATTCAAAGTTTGTTGTGCAAAATATTTGCGACAAAAGAAACGCGATAATTTTATTTTACAAATAATTAAATATATTTTAAGAAGATATTTCTTTAAATATGATTATTGCGTATATAATATTATCATCGTTATTATTCGTCCTTGGCATAATTTTAAAACGCAGATATCGATTTATTTATCAGTAAAATTTGGATTTTATATATATAAGATACAGTCGACATCTCACTTTTCGGTGTTCGCGAAAAAACTGGTTGGCAATGTGGTCAACATGTTGCCTTGAAGAGTTAAATGGACGATATTCAATGGTCTCCTGGGCGGTGGTAGGGCTTGTAATCGGTTGTGAGGAAGATGGAGAACTTCTAGTCTCGAGGGTTGAGACAACAATCTGTCTGGAAGAGCTGTGAGAGTATTGTGTGATGCGAAAAGAACTCGCAATGCTGGCAATTCAGTCGTCCATTCCGGCAATGCATCTAAATTGTTACTAAAAGAAAAGAAAATAAAATATGAATTTTATATAAAATTTTGTAAAATAAAAAATAAATCATAATCTAATTTATAATATCAAAATAAATAAACAAAGTATTAAAGTATTAACAAATATTTTTAAATCTAATAATATAAAATATGAATTTTGAATAAAGTAAAACATGGAATAATTTTTAATGATAAATAATAATATTTTATAATTTTTTTATTAATGTATACATTAGTTTAATGTTATAACGCAGTCTTACTAGGAAACATCTAAATGCTCCAAATTAATTGGCACAGGTTCAACAGTTAATTTTTTCAATTCTGTAAAAAGAAAATAATTATTTTTATTTTAATCCATTTTCATTAATTACATTTTCCAATTTTTTCTTAATATTTTAAATGTTTGATAAAAAGTACATTTTATTGTATAATATATAATTTGTACTCACTATTGTTCCCGGCAATTAATGAAACAAGATTTCGGCCACAAAGAGTTAATTCTGTCAAATGATTTCGACCGCAGCGTACACTTCTTAATTCTTGGAGAGCACTGATATCCAATTTTTCAATGCTATTTTCACTTACATCCAGATGTGTCAAATTCTTTATTTATGAAAAAAAAGATAATAAATGCTTTAACATTGCTAAATTGCTTAAACATTGTTAAATTGCATGAATTATTTTGTAATCTTTTTTGAAAAAATTCTTCATCTCTAAATTAGTAAATTAAATAAAAAAAAAAGATAATAAAATAGAAGGAATCAAAATTTTATGATAGCTTTAAACTTACGCCGTAATTTCCTAAAATTATGTTTCCTTTTAGTTGATTGTTTCGTAAATTGATCTTGTGTAAATTACTATGATTGGTTTTTTCATCCTTGTAAGATTTTCCATGATCTGCCTTTGAGAGAACTTCCTACAGATTATTATACAAATAAATAAAAATCTTAAACATTTGACAAATTATAAAAAACACCAATTTGTAGAATTTAAAAAAATTCAAATTTTATTATATCTATAAAAGAAGTTGATAATTAATTATTGCAACGATATTTAAAATAAGATTGTTGTGCATTTTTAAAGAAAAATTATTTTTGGTTTAATTTACAACCCAGCTTTCGCTGGGTATACAAAAAAATTAATATAGACTCATCAAGACATTCCCCTCCACGGAAATCTTTAGTAAAAGGCGAAAGATTTATACGTTCATTGAAGGGAAATCAGAGTAACAGTTCCTTTCCCTAACGATGCTTATATGCCCAAGGATACCAATTATTACTTATGAGAAACATTCTAACCTAATGGACCTCTCTCGGCCATATTTAGAACTAACATGGGACGCTGAATTCATCTGTATTAAGGAATGCGGTATTTTTAGCGAGGATTCTTTCTGTATATTGCTCTTATAGATTCGGGAATCCTGTTCTATTATATAATTAAAGTTTATAAAATACATATTTACTATAGACGTAGATTTTGTATCAAAAACGAGAAAAATTTTGTTAATTTAGATCTTTTTTGCTATATTTTTTTAAATATCATTTGCTATTTTAATATGGCGTCTATAGCTGTCAACTCGTCAATATTTGCTTTATAAAAATTTTACAGCTTATACTTATAAAATCGCTAGACTAGTGGATTACGTAAAAAAATAATATTGCAATATTTTTTAGAATTCGACTTATCTAATAAGATACAAAAAAATATATATGAAAATATGTGTGAAAATTTGTTTATACTTGTGCACAGATGTATTTATGAATATATGTATATATACATAAATGTATGCATGTATGTTTAAATATGCATATGTGTATTTAAATGTGCATATATGAAAACTCCGTTTTCATCAGAGTTCGCTCGCCTCTCCAGCATTCTCTTAAAAATGGACACCTTTTTTAAATGTAATTAAGAAATAATGACAAAAATCTCAATTTTTTTATGTAAGTATTTTAAGATGCTATAATCTATAATTTTTTCATAATTGTTTCATTGTAAATAAAAATAGATTTAATATACAATTTTATTTTAAATTTTATTGAACAAGGATATCTAGTTTTATGGCGGGGGGGGGGGGGGCCTCATTCAAAGCGTTTGTACTCATGCATATTTAGGGACCGTTAGAGGAGAGAAGAATGCTGGTTCTAAATATGTCCGAGAGAGGTCCATTAAGTTAGAATGCTTCTCATAAGTAAAATCGACTTTTTTAAGCATATAAGAATCATTAGAGGGTTATGTTGTCACTCTGATTTCCCTTCAGTAAACGAATAAATCTTTCGCCTTTTACTAAAGATTTCCGTGGAGGGGAATATCTTGATGAGTCTATATTAATTTTTTTGTGTATCTGGCGAAAGCTGGATCGTAAACTAAACTAAAAATTAATTTTTTTTTAAATGTTACAGCAATTTTCTTATAAAAACTACCTTAGATAAAACTCTAAAAAAGTTTGAAGATTTAAAGAATTTTACGTAGTGTTCTTTTTTAGATTTACAAATCAGTAACCTTTTATATTATACTTGTTTTTCGCGAAGAGGATTTTAACTTGTTTTCTTGCAATAGATTGAAGATTTTATTATAAGCATATCTTTATATATCTCACTATACATAAAAATATCCTGTACTTATATACAGATTTTGTTTTTTTTATCTTTATCAACAAAAAATGTTTATAGTAGAATAACTATATATTTTCGTATGTATTTCGTAATTTTTGAATTAATTTATTCAGAATTTGTCGGATATAAAAATTAATATAAATCTTGCTTCTAAAAACATTTCAACATTAATTTATCATTTGGTCAAAGCACAATATTTTAAAAATAATTTTTTATTTATTAATATCACTATAACTTTTTCTATATAATATAAGTCTGCATTCTTTGAATTTTGTAAATTATAGTTAAAAACTTTATACTTTCATTTTATTTATTTATTTATTATAATATCGTATGCACATATATGAAAGAATTACAATATATAAACAAGAATCTTAGAATTTTCCTAGGTATCTTGAAAGCAAGGTAATTTTACAGAAATGTATTGGTCATAATACATATAGTCAATACAGATATGATCAATAATGAAATGTTTATGTGTTAGACACATGCGAATACACGTAGTTGGCTTGAAATGCAAGGTCAAGGTCAGATATAGTGGATCAATAAAAGCTGCTTAGGATACACGTATACTTTTACTAGAAACTTTTACACTTTATCGCTTACACTATAATTTATCTTGCGGTAACCAATTTCAAATATCTATAATCTCATTTATAATTTTTTTGTGCTTTCCGATTCTTCAAACGTTTTTTATTACACGATATATAAAATTCTAAACGGAATCATGTTCTGAATTTTTGTCAGAAGTACGTCTTGTATCATTTTTATCGAGTTATAAATCGCTTGTAACAAACTTTTAGTATTAAGCGTGACGAATTTATTAATTGTTTGTTACACTGAGTGGGATATTCTAACTTACTGTCAGTGCGAGAGCTCGCATGATGAAAAAGGATGGTACGGTGTTGAGCAAATTTCCGACTAGGGAAATATTCCTCAAGTTTCTCAGCCGTGTCACTTCGTCTGGTAGATCTTTGATGCCATTACGGTCAAGGATCAGCTCTTTCAAACTGCAACGATAACGTTATGTTTAAAAAGCAAAGATTATGTCTGGAATAAATTAACAAATTCCTTCAAGTATTGTTTTAAAAGTATCATATCATTATCAATATATCATGTCATGATATCATAATTTTTTTTAATTTTAAATAAAAAATAAATTCAATTTTAAATTAATGTTTAATTCATTTATATTTGTTTGATATTGGAATGAATACATTTATTCATTTTTTTTTTATATTTACAATATTTTTATTTCTATAAAATATTACAAAACTTTTATATTATAAAAAAATTTAATAAAAAAATATAGACTCTCGTAAAAAATTTAAAATCGTAAACATTTTATTATATCAAATATAACGTAAAATTATAGATCTGCTTATTTTTCACCAATAGAAATTTAATAAAATATTTTAAATTCGATTATTTTTTTTATTAAAGTGTTAATAAAGAAAGAATTCATTTCTTGAAGAAATCATTCGTAAACTCGTCATTTTTATGGAATAGCATAGTGCTGTGTCTGGCTACTGTGAATTGTATCCCGAAGCTTCGGACACGCGAGTCGGTGAACCTAAACGAGCGAGCCGCCCACAGGATGTGCACTTGAGTAGAAAGTTTCGAATTATAGTGAAAACCTTCGTTGCAGTAAGCATCTGTGTCATCGGACAAACTTTCGATTTTTGCCATCATAACAGTAGGGGTTCTTATCGATAAATGCGTTTAGCAGAAATATGAAATTTTTATTATATTATTAAGATCGATTGTGCAAGCGCTTTAAAAATGTCTCTTGAATTTTTCTTTTTCACTTAACTATTAATCAACTTATAATTAATATTTTTTTTATAAAGATATAAAGATAATCATACTTTTTTGATAAAAGCAATTAAAGCTTCACGAACTTTACACATTAAAAGTTTTAGAATTTAAAAAAACTTATGTTTATTAATATCAAAAAGAAGAAGAAAGAAATAATTAATTGGCAAAAGATATTTTAAAAGATCTTCTACGCATATCCCTAAATAACAAAATGTTTTAAATATTTCTATAAATAAATAAGTTACTAATAAATAAAACTAAAACAGAAATAACTGTAAAAGATAATTAAAATTAAAAAAAAATTATTAATAAATTTTGCAAAGCAAAGAAAGTATGTTGATTGTTAAGAAGGTATGTTGATTGTAATAGATCGTAAATGACCGGCGTTTACTTTTCAAAGCAATTGCCATCTCATTTTAAAACGTGCGCTCGTTCTTTCTCACCTGTTTTGCCACCTCTTGCTTTTTCGTGTTGCTGCGCACAAGCGCGTCTAAGAGAAGGGGGGCAGCATTCAAGTAGGTATCTGAAGTATTTTCTTCAGTACATTCAGATATGATTGCTATCGTCCGGCGATATTGTTCAGGGAACAATCGTTTCATATGTATATAAATCCTTCATAGATCCTTCTCCCCTATTGTCATTTTAATAACGCATCGTACATGCATACAGAGACATTTAGATATTAAAACTTTCTACCATTTGATATTAGTTAATATAATTAATTTAATTAATTACTATTATTTAATTAATTACTACATTATGTCTTATAAAAATGTTTTGTAAAATTGTTTTGTTATATTAAATAAATATGTGTGTTATGTAAAAACGTAATGTGCTGCGCTGCGTAGATAATAAACTATGTTAAGAATCTCTTCTTATTAACAGTTTCTTTTTCCAATATTGCATTCTTTCCGAATGTTCCAAAATCCTGGAATATCCCGGCTCGCAATCGACATTACATCCTCGCTGCGAGCAACGAATTTTATGAATCGCCAAATTGCGCACTGCATACCCAAAACTTTCACCATCGAATCCATAAAGTACACCGCAAAGTGAGAGTTAAATTTTTACAGTTTTATAATTTTTACGACGCGCTAATCCGATTTTTAACGTTGGTCCCATAATCGTGCGCGGGCTTTAAGGACCGTCCAGACTTCGTCGACGAAGAAGCTTCGCCGTAGCCCTTCGACCACCGGATTTCCGGCGGCGACTCGGAAGTGATCACCGGCGGCTTTTTGCGGCACGATTTTCGCGACCGGAGATGCACACTCGCGGCGATTCTTCCGAGGACTAAAGAGGTCGGTTGAAAGGCAAACTTATTCCTCCAGAGGATACCTCTTCGTCTTGCGGCGAGGGAAGAAGAGGGAGGCAAGACCGAGGATGGGTTGGCTGACCACTCTGATGTAACAGAACAGAAATTGTCTGCCGGTGTACGAAGCAAGACCGAGCGATAATGCGCCGTGGCTTAGTCCGGACATGCACCAGCGATGGCCGACACAGTCGGTGAAATCCTTGTTACATATAATACCTTAATTCCGCATGAATAACATCGTCAAATTATGCCGTTTGTGATATATGATATGCGATACGCGATATATACACGCATCTCCATTCTGCTCGAAATCTGCTCGAATTTATTCGGGACGCGGGTTAATTTCAGAAGCATGTATACTTTAATGTATTGAATTACAGAACAATTTTGGACATTTAAATTGTTCAAAAGCCAACGAGATAATATCATTATTATTACGCGACGTGAATAGAGAGATGATTTTTAGCATCGGAGAGCTGAATTATTAGCGGCGCATTCGAATTAAAGGCGAATTTAATTATAGCAGAAATATCTATAAAGATTTAAGTCTCCATGATCCCCGTCCTAAGATCCTTTATCTTTGGGAAACCTTTTGTTCTCATATCTGGGTCAACTGGATCAACTATATCTGGAACTATGACGGAAGCACTCGCGCGGGTCGTATAATTTTAAATTCAGATTTTCGGTTTTCTTTCGTTTTTTGGGCGCTTCGTTTGACACGATCGTCGAAAGTGAATCATGCAAAATTGCCTTAAAGTGCCGACTCTTCCTGCGGTAAAACGGGGTTAGGCAACATCAGGAGTCGTAGGCAGTGGCGCGAGACGGCGAGACTCGGGTGGAAACTGGCGCACGCGAATCAAGAAAAGGCGAATGTCTACAAAACTTATATATCGCGCTTGATGAGCGGTTCAATTCCAAACAATTAGACCTCGAGAAGTCTTTATACAGTTAAGAATGTAAATTTTCAGAAATATTGCGTTACGTGATTTATAATTAAAAGCATCGACGTGTGAAGATCCATTTTATGAGAAAAATAAGAATAAAATTTCACTAATCTTCACAATTTTTAGTAATACTTACTGTATTACGTAAACAAATGAGATTTTCAATATTTACATAGATTTAAATATCTTTTATGAAAAGATTTTTAATCGTGTTTATGAGGTGTTCTCATAGTTTTAGAAAAAAACTTTTTGCACCTCGCAATGTTGCAATTTGGGAAGCAGGCGTGGACTCAATTAAATGAGGAAACATGAAATTACGTACGGTTCACTAGTTTCTTCGCAAAGTAGATTGAAAATTAAACGCGTAACGATGAAAAATAGTAAAATAAAATATTAAAAGAAATCAAATATAAAAGAAAAATAATTGTAGCTCTAGATAAAGAATATCGTCTTAGTTATCTGCGACATTGTCCAGATCTATTTAGATTTAAAAAGAGGTCAGGGATGTGCTAAAGCTGTATTAGTTTAAGCCGATTATGTCACACTTCTGATTATGTTACGGTTGAACGGAGATCTTGATTTATCTAAATAATCACCTTAGAGAAACGAGGGGAGGCAAAGTGTCGTCTATCCGTAATGATCGTCAAGACGAATTCCGTAAATTCGCCTTTCGGTTCAACGATGGCGAACCTGTGCAAGAAGCACTTTTACCTCCCATGCGTGTGTGTGTGCGCGCGCGTGCAGCGACGTCATCGTGTTCACACCCCGTAGTTCCTCCCCCCCCCGTAGTTCCTCATTTCCGGTCGGTGGAAAGCGGTTTTCGAGAAACTTTACGTAATCTTTGTCTCGATTGTGCGGCTTCCTCGCAATCGCGAGATCAGATTTTTGCGTTGCTTAAAGTACTAAGCGCGATACTAAAAAAACGCACTTCTTTATGTGATCTTTATAGTATCTTGAACATGCAACTCGATGCAAAATATTTGAAAGTGTAGATCGTATAGTTGAAGATTCATGATTTTCCAAGATTACATATGGTAAAAAAAGTCGTTACTTATATAGCTTAATTATGTTTTATTATGTTATATTTAACTTTCTTTAATGGATTTATTTAAATTAAAAAAATAAAATAATTAACTTAATAGTCGACACATTTAATACACTTTCTTAAGAAATCAATATATCTTTGCAGGATGATAGCATAATTTTTTATTAATATTTTTTATAAGTTTTCTTTTAAAATTAAAATAATTTGTGAATTTAATTAAGCAAAAATTTTTTTGAAATTTCATGGATTTTTAAGCAGAATATTAAAACTCTTGTGATATTTACTTCGTCGTTATCTTAAGTTATTTTAAATTTGCCAATAAAAGTAGTTTGTTGTTTCAGAACAGATTAAAAATAATTTTGATGCGTCATAAAATTCTATATATAAAATTCTATATAATCGATATTATAAGTTTGTTTTCGAGTACGCTTTGATATGACAGTTGTCGTACGTTTTTCAGGAAACGTGGAGAATTAACAGCGCTGCTCGATCATTATCGTGCGCGTTGATTTTCCACACGAATCCGTTCATCAGCGCTGATCGACAATAGCGCGCGTGATTAATGTGTTGGTAATTAATTGCACTCCTAGATTGACGCGCATAAATCAGGCGGTACGGAGGGAAAATTTAGCCGCTTGCACGTTAATGCATTACTGAAACCGCCACGCCGATTAATAAAATAGATATCACGGTGGAGATACAGTGATCGCTAATAAAGAAATAATTGTCGTTCAAAGAAATGAATCGGAATTCATTGAGAGGGACGATTATTGAGAGCGCGTTTTCTTTAAATTATTCAAAGATAAAAGTGATGATTTCTTGTAAAATCTTCAATCGTAACATCTTTAATCGTTCAATCTTCCATCATCCGTTTAATCTTACTTAAATAGAAAACAAGCGATATAACAGATAAAAAGATTTTAAAAGATAATTGCCGCGCATGTCTGATAAACGTCAATCTCTCTTCTGATAATGAGGGAAAACAAGAGAGGATCTCCTCCCGTTTGAAGGGGATTATTAATCTAATCTATGTTCATTATAAATAAAGGAGCGGGCAAATGAGAATATATAGGTATGAAATTATGTACGTACTTGACCAACTGGCAAATGTCAGCCGGAATTATCTCGATCTTGTTGTCCGAGAGATTAAGATAGGTCAATGCCGGCAACTCCAGCAGTTCCCTCGGGATTCTGTGGAGATTGTTGCTCTCGAGATGGACGGTATGAAGTTTGGGGAACCTGAGGGAATGGAGAGTTACATACGAATTAACTACCAATTAAAGTTTCCTTGCAGCCTCGCCGTGTTTGTGCTATCGAAACACTCACACGCTTTTCTTTGCTCTTATCGAAAAAGGGGGTTAGTCTATCCGTGTTCTAATTACTTGATTGCATTACCCGATCCGCAAGAATCAAATTCAAAATTTCTCCTTTCGTCTTTCTTATCCATTCATTTTTTTTCACAAATCTCATCAACATAGCAGTTGAGAAATATTTGTTTAGCTTCTTTTTTTTTATAAATAATTGTAGGAAAACAGAAATAATGCGAGACAAAAGAACCAAGCAGATTTTATTATTATTATTCAATACGAAAGTGATTTTACGTAGATGTAAAAAGGTTTACCTGTGCAGAAGTTTCAGATTGTTATCAACGTTAGTGAGCTGGTTGCATCCTAACGCGAGCTCCTCTATCGCTGGAAAAGCAATCGCGCTGTCGGGGACCCTTGATAGGCCCGCCTTGCTCAAGTCTAACTTTTTGGGGCATGACGGCAACTGCGTAGCCTGCAAAAACACGAGAAAGAGTGTGATACGGTAAACAGGCGTATCTGAGAAGGAATACTTTTCTAATTTTACTAGAAGAAATCTTTGATTGTAATTGAGTAACTTAATTATTTGAGTAATTTAATTACGATACGACTGTATTACGTTAGAAATTTTTTCATTCCTTAAGGCATTTATGTTATTTAAACAGAGAAAGTGATATGACCGCAGATGAATTATTATCGCAATTTTTATGAAATATATTATATGTGTTGCGTTTACCTCGAACTCCAAAGAGTCCGTATCTATGGTGTCGTTTCCGTCAAAATCACACTCCTCCATAATTGCAATTAAATCTCTAACACACGTATCATCTTTTGAAAGCCCGCATATTCTTGCGCGAATACACACGCTTCGCATTGAGAGCGCGCGCACAAAATGAATTAATTAATATATTAAAATTCTCAATTTATTTCGGCTTGATGTAATCATCACTCGATGTAAAAGCCATATCGTTTCGTACTTCACAAAATGTAACAGTTCGTGCAAAAACTTGTTTACGAGGATGCTATAATTTCACTTCTGCTTCTCGCATTATAATATTCAATTTTATGTTATTATGTATCTTGTCAAACGCATGTCAGCCCTTCATATAAAATCGCAAATTTATTTTAATTAATGTTGACCTCGATAAGCAACCTTCTATTCTGTTGCGATTTCTTTGTACATTACGAAACAATAGTTTCACTTAGATCAATCGATTCGTTAGCGTATCTATAGACGAGAAAGATCGCTTAATAATGGATCATTTAACAATATCAGTATGCAATGATTAATCATACGTAGGGAGTATTGTATTCGTCGGAATGGGGGCGTTCAAATGAAACAAACGAACGAATTTTAACGTTGTAATTTTGTCACGTCCTTTCGATTTGTCCTTTCGATTTGTTCTCCCGAAGATTGTGCATTCAAAATTACAAAACGCCCAATCGACATGGCGCAATTATTGAAACGCGAACAAATATGAACAGTTCGCAAATTTGAAAAAAGTGTGATATGTGATACGCATAGTAAAATAAAACAATTATATATATATATATATATATATATATATATTCTATATAAATTGTTCTATATATATATATATATATATAGCCATTGTGATGTGTACATGAAACAAACTATATTTTTTTATACTTTTAAAAGTAATTTTTTATACTTTTATTTATATATGTGATAGTATATTATATGATCTCACATTCTCTAAATAGAATTTTGAAACAAAGTTGAGATCAATAAATTAATTCTTTTTTAAATAAAATTGAGATATGACGAAGTAAAAGATAGAAGATTAAATTATTTATATATGCTTTATGTAAATTTAAATGTAAATGAACGTGATAAAAATCAAGAAATATAAATTTGCAATAAAATTTAAATAATTCTTTAAATAATTTTTTAAAATTAAGTTAAATGATTAGTTTATTATTATTATTATTATTTCTTCACTTGCCTTTAATGCGACAGTGGTAATTCATTTTGCGTTTACATTTCGCTTTCGCTGTGCTCTTCGCGATTTGACTTAGACCATTTTATCGCCTAAAGATTATAATGCATTCAGCCTTGCTGAACTTCATTGTAAGAAACCGACGTAAAGTAACGGCGATGCACGAGCAATATTTGTGCCGACAAGTATTGTTCTGCTCGTTGCTCCGACTACGAATAGCCTCTCATTGTCCGCGGCGGACTTTCAACCAAACAATGAAGACGTCAGTCAAAGCTTTCTTATCGGCGTTAGATTCGACCGCGATCGCGCGCGAACCTCCCTAAAACAATACGATGGAAAAATCGCTACCGGTATCATTAGAAAGCAGAACGTCGCGCACCAAATCAAGGCATAGTAAAAAAAAAAAAAGAAACATGGATAATTTCATATCATTGCATTAAGCCAAGGAAAGAAAAAGAAGCTAAAAGAAAGAAATCTCAAATCTGTACGTAAGATAGAATTACTTAACCAGAATGATAACATCAGATCGGATTAATCTTAATATGTGAGTTTCGAATCATTTCAGAATGATGTAGAATGTACCTAAAAATACTGTGTATTTTTTTTTTAAACGTTAATATTGTTTATTTTCGAAAAATTAATTTAACTGGAGAATTTTATTTAATATTTCTCATTTATTATTTTTATATTTATGTATATTTTTTTAAATAGAAATTAACTTTCTTTCTCTTAGTAATTTTTGAATCATTCCGTTACTAAATTAGGGAGTATATTAGCTTGTTAATAATTCTTATTTTCAATTTAATAAATTTTTAAAGCGTAGAATAAAATTTCTCCTTGCATAATTATTGATGCATAATTATTGATTTGTACACAGAAAGAACATTTTTTCTGGCAAATCTAAAAATTTGACCAGCTACAGATCTGAAAATAATTTTGTTGGCCCATCAAAATTATTTTGTAGAACACTTAAATATGATAATTAATATGATAATTACTGCAAAATGTTTGATCTTCTAACAATCAATTTGAACATGGTATATAATAATTTTGAAAATCCAACAAAATTATTTTCAGATCTGTATCTAGCCAAATTTTTAAAAAACTTGCCAGCAAAAGTGTTCTTTCCGTGTGAAAAAAGTTTCTTCTTACGTAATCTAATTTGTAATAATTCAGAATCTTTTTTTCAGAACGCGGAAATAAGGAAAGTGTCATTGTCGTTGAAGGGGAAAATGGGATTACGAGGAGAAGAGAAAGATACCATGTTGCGGGAAAGAGCTCGAACCGCGTGAGCGAGCATGATCGTCGCATGATGGTTAATTTCCGTTCTATCAGATTCGAGAGAAAGTGATTTACGTCTTACATCTTCATTTCTACTAACGTGAATTAAGTTTAATCTCAATTTGTTTATTCTTTACTTTTTTCTTAAAACTTAATTCTTAAAAAAAGAAAGATGAAAGGTAAATTAAATCGAGATTAAAATTGGCAGGAATATTAGAATATTCATGCAAATCAAATGTCTTGACGAATTTAGAATTAATTATTTTTCACATGAATTTTCCGAGTATATAATTGAAATTTAGTGATCAGTTTTTCGTTTAAGCGATACATTCCGACGCGAAGCTCTCCGCGGCATCCCCCCATGATAGTATTTCAGATTTAACTCTACTCTTCCATCGTCTCAATTCCACCAATTTCCCGACGATAATTTCCCATCGGAACCCGAATCGATCGATTCTACTTTCCGATCGCGACTCCGGTTACGCTGAGTCTCTATTCGGTCCAGAACTCGTTGAAGGAGGAGGAGAAAGAGAGAAAGAAAGAGAGAGAGGAGATGAAACTGCGAAGGTATATAGGAAATGGACGGGAGAAAAAAAGTGAAAAAAAGTGAAAAAAATTGCGCGTATCGGCCGGTTGACACACGCCGGCGATGGCACGAAAACGAGAAGGAAACGAGATGAAATGGACGTTTCAAGCCAACGGACGCGCTTAGCCCACCGTGAAGAGAGAAGATAGAAAGGGGCAGAAGCGGGGATCAAAGGAGTAAAAACGAAGGGGAAGAGAAAGAAGAAGCCCCGTGTCTCGGCTGTCTGCTCACTCGTGGACGGTGACTAACAAGGAAAGTAACTTTCCCGGGAAAGTTCAGGCCAGTCGATACTGATGCGTCAAGCGAGAGCTGCGATAATCCAGAAAGGAGATCCTAGTGAGAGGGGCGAGAGGAGGGATACAGAGAACACAGGTCTCCTCCTGACGAGTCACTCCTTCAGCACTGAAAAACTTTCTCTATTTCTCTCTCTTTCTTTTTTTTTTTTTTTTTTTTTTATTAGGT